AGAGGCCCCCACCCTCATCCTTTGTTCCAGGAGTGCAGTGTAGGCAGGTCAGGAATGCCAGAACCGCCAAGACTCCTACCCGCACTGCCTTGCAGGCGTGTCTGTGACTTCTGGGGAGGGGTAGCCCCAGCCTGAAACCACACCCACCCAGGGGTTCCCCCTCCTCCCCTCACCCCTAGACCAAACACAGAAGCAGAGAGATGCAAACGAGTCACAGGATTTGATGGGTTGCCCTGCATACCTTTGGGGTGGAAGATGGGGCCATTTGAAAGCCTATTGGAGCTCTGTGCACACGATGCTTAGAGCACTGCCTCTCAGGCTGGAACTAGAATTGCCGAGGACTTGTTGAAGGAAAGTTCTGACACGGCAGGTCTGAGGTGGGACCTTGATGCCTGTGGAGTGGGTCTGTGAACAATGTGAGTAGCAAGTGTTTGGGAGGCCTCCTGGGGCTGCTGTCTTAGGAGACACGGGTTGAGGAAGGGACTGTCACCTTTAATTTTGCAGATAGGAGACGGAGACCCAGATGTTAAGTGGTTTGCCCAAGACCAATCAGCGTAGTAGTGGCACAATGCCAAGCAACCTTGTAAACACTCAGCCTGCGTGAAGTCACCTGGTCTATGTCAGAAGGGCAGCCAGGCAGGCCTTGAGTCTGTCTGCACGAAGAATTGAACCTCTGGTCTTTGCTGACCTTTTACAGGCTATAGGTTGCTTGCCATCATACCAGATGCTGTGTGATATTTTAATCAGAAAGAAGACTCGATGTCTAATGGCAAGACCAGAAACCTGACATTTTATTCTTTGCCAGCGCTGAGCAGGGTGTATGGCAGGCAGACAAATGACAGGACAGCCAGGAAAACTTCAGTTTCACATAAAGAATTGTTTTCTAGGGTAATTACGCCCCATGCATAATGTGAGATATGCTTACAGTAAAAGAAAGTATTTGTTGTTTATCTGAAATTCAAATTTAACGAGTGATCTTGGATTTTTTGTTTCCTAAGTCTGGCAACCCTAACAGGGCTGCAAATGAGAATAAGGAGAATAGGAATTTGGTAACAAGGAACATTTCCTGCTTCATTACTGCTGACCTTAAAGAAAACTGCAAGGATGCTGGCGTGGCCGGTGCCCCACCAGGAGGCACAGCTTATTACTGCCACGACTGTGCCAGCTCCCCCTTCAGTCCTCACTCTGAATGGAGGGTCTCTCTGCAATTATAGCTGCCGTTTCGAGTTGAACTGTGTCCCCAAAAGATTCATATATTGAAGCCCTACCCCCCAGCATCCCAGAACGTGACTTAATATGGAAACGGGGTTGTTGCTAAAGTTGTCAGTTGAGATGAGGTCACAGGGGAGCAGAACGGGCTCTGGACCCAATGTGACTGTGTCCTTGCAGAGGGGAACTTTGGACACAGAGACCAACGTGCAGGCAGAGGGAAGACCACGTGGAGATTGGCCTCGTGCTGCCACAAGCCACGTGACTACCAGAAGCCAGGACCGTGGCCTGAATGGACCCTTCCCTAAAGTCTGCAAGTGAGCGTAGCCCTGCTGACTTTGATCTTGGTTTTCCAGCCTCCAGAGCTGTGAGACAATATATCTCTGCTGTTTAAGACACTCAGTGTGTGGTACTTGGGTGACGGCAGCCCCATAAACAAATGCTGGGAGCTGGGAAGAAGACAGGAGGGAGGAGAGGGAACAAAACCCAACAAGCAGGAGAGGTCCTCAGCATCTCCACCGGCCATTCTCCACAGAGCGTGAGAACCTCAGCCGAGCGAGGAAAGCCACGGTGTATGAAAACTCACCGCCCAGCTAAAACTCAAGCTCTAAACATCGAGTTGAACCAGTTACACGTTATATACAGGAGAAACATTAGAGATCACAATTCACCCCGTTACACAAAGCATGTTGGCCTTAGAAAGGCCAAACACGCAAACTCAACAGACCAGTTACTGTGAACAGGTTTTTTCCCACGAGAAGTCTGTTTTCCTCCGCTACGTACAAACCAAACGCTACTGGGTTGGTGTCTAAAGAGCTCAAGAAACAAAACTGAGCAGGTTGTTCTGATTTCATTGTCTCTCTTGGTTATTCGCTGGTCATATTTCAAATGGCCCCAAATGGCAAGATTTAAACAAATGATAGGCTACTTAACAATACTTCATCCTCCCTTTCTACAGTAATGGAAAACTCCTCAATTCAGTATACATTTTAATGTATCTTCACCTTTCCCCGGGCCTTGGAGGACTCAGTAGGTCCAAGAAAGATGCCACACCTAGCTGGCTCCAGTCACAGGGGCCTTCATTTATTGAACGTGCCAAGGTATCTGTTTCACTCAGGAGGCCTGTGCACATACTGAGCCCTCAGCCTGGAATGCACTTTCTTCTACTCAGACCCACCTCTCTATGCCCCCGGCACAACGCCCTACACACGCAGCTCAGACATCAACTCTCAGAAACATCTTCCGTCATCACCCTTTTATTTTTTCTGACCATGTAACCTTGTGTATTTCCTTCTCCACCCTTACTGTGACTATAATTATTTGCTGTTCGCTTGTTTATTATCGATGCCTCCCTAACCAAATGGTAAGTTCTGTGAGTCAGAGAGCAGATGTGTTTTATACATTACATTCAGGGGCTGGTACACAGGAGGCACACAAATATTTGTCTGGCTTGATCAGTTAATTTAAAGCCAACAAACGAAGGTATAATATGACCAATACTGGCACACGCCCAAAACACGGTGGGATGCCCTAATGGGTTTGGCTCAGTGGATAGAGCGTCGGCCTGTGGACTAAAGGGTCCCAAGTTCGATTCTGGTCAAGGGCATGTACCTCAGTTGCAGGCACATACCCAGTAGAGAGTGTGCAGGAGGCAGTTGATCAATGTTTCTCTCATCGATGTTTCTAATTCTCTATTTCTGTCCCTTCCTCTCTGTAAAACATATATATCAATAAAATATATATTTTTTAAAAACTCACACAAGAAACATGGTGGGATGCCCTCTATGCTTAGAGGCTCTGAGTTCAACCCTGGAGCATAAAGTCTTCACTTCTCATCCTGGCTGTGAAAGGGATGCGTGTCGGTTATCACTTGTCCGGTAATTTCTCTGAGAAAGTTTTCAAACTTAAAAACCACCCTCTGATTGTGATCTGGTTTCACAAACAAATAAAGGCTTGCCTGGGTCACACGCACATGAGATGCTGTGGTCCCCGCTTTCTCACAGTAAATTCATAAGACTGTGTAGGGTCATGATCTGGCGTCCTATGTAAATTGATTTTAGGGAGAAATGTATTGAAAACATTTGATAACTGAATATCTCTTTATAAATTAATAAACTGGCCTTCTCACATAAAAAAAAAGCCTTATATTTAAAACAACAACAACAACAACAAAAACTTAGGCTGTATGGGTCCTTAGAATTAGATGGCAGAAGATATTTTGGCCATTCATATATAATACCTTTAAAAAGTACATACTACTTGATCCAGAAATTCCAGTAATAGGAATTGATCCTTAGAAAATAATCATGAAAGATGAAAATAACCATGAATACATGCAAAAATTTAGCCACAAGAATTTTACTACAGCACTGTTTACAATAAAAACTAGAAACATAAATATCCAATAGTATGGGATAGAATAGATAACTTGTGGTAATCCCTATTAAAAAATACAGCTTTTCAAAATGTCTTACTGAGTGAAATAACAATTAATGGCACGGAAAAAAGGGTCACCACATGCTAACAGTAAAAGAAGCAGGTCATGAATCCACACTCTAAAATGTAAACTGCAGTTTTGACTGAGTGTGGGGTCATCTGTGATTCTTTTCCCCCCTTCTTGTGTTTATCTGTATTTTGTAAATTTCCTCCGAAAGACATGCAGCAATCATGTATTTTGATTTCCAAATGTATTTTGGAAAAACGTTTATTTAAAATTAAATTTTAAGCAGTCACAAAAGGACAAATACTACATGGTTCGACTTATGTGAGGCACCTCAAATAGTCCAATTCACAGAGACAGAAAGGAGAGGGGTTGCCGGGGTGGGGACTGTGAGTTATTATCTGACAGGTGCAAAGTTTCGGTTTTGCAAGATGAAGAGTTCTAAAGATGGGTGGTGGTGATGGCTGTAAAACACCATGGATGTACTTAAAGCCATTGAACTGTACACTTTAAAAAATGGTTAAGACAGTTAAATTTTACCTTATCTGTATTTCACCACAATTTTTAGAAACTTTAAAGTCAGTAAATAATAAATTGAACTAGGTCTAGAGGTGTCCCAGTTACTAGGATTTTAACTAGGAGGAAAAGGTAGGAGGAAGAAGCCTGACTTTGACCTTGGACTGCATGGCACTGAGCAAGACAGTCCACTGTGCCCACCAGGCCTGGCATGCACCTTGGGATGGGCAGGCATCTGCCTAGCTTCCTATCTACCGGGGCTGGCCAGTATCGTGTCTCATCTCTCCTGAGCAGGGAGTCTTTGTCCTCACTTTCCAGCATCCCTTAGTTGATTCTCATAAGAAGGAACTGATTTGGCTGCCCCAGAGGCATGGCTTCCCAGGGTCTGGCTGCAGAGACTGCAGGCGGCAGACAGATTTGAAGCTACGTCCTCCATAGGGCATGGGTTAAGGGATTTGCCCCCAAAGCCCTTTATCTAAGCGTCAGTGGAGCCAGGCAAAGAAAGCAATCTCACCTTAAAGTCCAGACAACTCAACTCTCTACTACAGAGTGAAGGAGAAAACCAGATTCAGCTAACAAAAAACCTTTATCATCAAGAGGGCACCCAGCGCTTGGCAATGAGAAAGAGGAGCATGTCTGGTTCCTGGTGCTAAGACCTGAGAGCCCCACCTGCAGAGCCGAATGTGGCTGCAGCTGTATCTTTAACAGAGCTAGGATGTTGGATGCTGAGGTTAGCTATCTGAAAGGACCATACATGTACACAGGAAAAGGAAGTTACGCGAGAACTTCAGAGTTAGCAGGACCAGAGAAAGACAGAGACTGGTGCTTTGCTTACCTGCCGTAGGCACGCTAACATTATACTGAGGTAAAATAAATAGGAAGGCAGTCTTGGCAGTGACCTGTAAAATAAAGAAAAAGAATTCCAATTTAGTCTCTTGGTCACATCAAAAGACTTATGTGGAGCCTGCCCCCAGCTCCCAGAGCCCAGCCCTTTTCCTTCTCAGACCACAGGCCTCCCCAATGAAGGGTTTTACCTAATGCATATTAGCACTGGCTTTTTTTCTCTTCCATTTAATGACAGCCCTCCTAATACCTGCACTACAAACAAACAAACAAAGCATTCCTGGGCCCTGTGTGGTATCTAGACTTGTACTCACTACAGATGGAATAAAATGAGCTGTGCTTGGCCAGCTGACAGCTCACAAGCTAAGGATACAAATCTGTCTGCCATGCTTTCATCCATTCAAGAATCCATTCATTCACTCAATTAGTGTTGGGTACCCTGCACTGTGGAGGACAGAAACTAATAGAAGATGAGGTCCCAGCTTCCCCAAGCATGTTAACTACACAGCGGGCAGCAGCCCGGAGTCCACATCTGAGCGTCAGAAGCATCTGCCCTACTGTGGGGCATGGGGCAAGGCAGAACACCCCACTCTCTGATTTGTTTACTTAAAATCTCAGTGGTGCTGTGAAAAAAAACAACAAAACACTCTGGTTGCCACCTGGCAAATCAGTGCTCTGGCAATTTAGCCTGCAGGGGAGATGTGATCCAATGTGAGGATTTGAAGCTTGGACTTGAGAACCTGCTGCCTGAGCTCCAATCTGCCCCAGCCATTTGCAGGCTGTGTAAACACAGCGAGTCGTCGTACACTGGAAGATGAAGGCTATCCGTAACATCCCTGCTGCTCTGTCCAGCTCCCCAGATGTTTCTGAGGTGACACTGGAGCGAGAAGCACCACCCACACTGTCCTGAAACACGTGGGAGGCCAGGGGAGGAGGCGAGACCCAGGCCTGTCCCAGGAGGCCTCCAGAGACACCTCATCAATAGAGTCACTGCTTCTCCTCTGAACAAAAGTGTCTAAAGGATGCACCATGGGTGTGGGGGAAACACTGGGTTAGAGCAGGGCGGGAAGCAGAAATTATGCATCACGCCCATCAGTGCATCACTGGGACTCCTGGCTGCCCAGACGCAAGCTCTGTCCTCAGCTTCTCTGTCTAGTGAAGAGCAAGACTCTCCCCACCCACCAGCCCCGATCCTCTCCAGGGTGTCATCTGTCTTTGTGTGCAGTGAGGCAGGAGCGTCCTCGTCGGTGCTATTCTCGTGACCATGTTCTGTCAATCTTGCAGGGACAGGTCCAATCAGACGAGGGGTGGCAGGGCATTCTGGGAAACAAAGCACTATCCATACACCCACCCCAAATCTCATTACTGCTGCCCCGAGACCTTCCTCAGGGTGCCCCGCTTCCCTTCCAGTCCAAGCACCTCCACTTCTTTAGAACAGATGTATGTTACGTGTATTTAAGCAAAATCTACTACTCACTCTTTTCTTTGGGAGGTTTTAGTCCCCCTCAGAAAACCCTACAGATTAAAATCTCATTCATTCTTTTTAAACAATTTTTCCAGAGAGGAAAGGAGAGAGAGAGAGAGAGAGAGAGAGAGAGAGAGAGAGAGAGAGAGAGAGAGAGAGAGAAACATTAATGATGAGAGAGAGTCATCGATGGGCTGCCTCCTACGCACCCCACTGGGGATGGAGCCCGGCCTTAAGCCCTGACCGGGAATCGAATGGGTAACCTCTTGGTTTCTGGGTCAACATTCAACCGCTGAGTCACACCCCGCTGGGCTGGTTCATCCTTTCTAACCCGGTTCAACGGTAACCCCTGGAAGCCTTTCCCACCTGTGACAGAGTGAGAGTCTCCTTCTTCAGGAAGTGCTCTGTGGCATGCTCCTTATCGTTCTCAGTGGCACTCCGCAGGGCAGGGCCTGTGCCATCTCACCTGTCCCCAGACCCTTCTCAAGTAACCAACCACATGCACACAGTAGGTGCTCAGTCACAATCCTGCTTTTTCTTTAAAGGAAGACAGACATTTGTTATAGGGGCTGTGTAGACATTATTGCCCCAGTCCTCACAGACAGCCGACTTTGGCGTTCACGGTAGTTCTGTTCCAGGAAGTCACTGTGAACACTGAATGAGCAAACATTGCCCCTTGGCTCCTAGGGGAAACCAGGCTTAGGCTCCTGCCAGTCTCTGGTCACACTTCCCTGAGTGGATCAACGCACAGCTGTGCTTTGGGTGTGTCTCTGTTTTAAGGTGCTGCACTGAACACACACTGTCGAAGCGTGAACACTCAACTCATGGCAACGGTGCTGTCACTGACGCCTGCAGGATGCTTGCTAACACATGTTTTTCTGTAAGGTGCATCACAGCCACGTGCTTAGGAACACAAGACAGCACTTCAGTACCTGGTGTGAGAGCCATTTTAAATATCAAACTCGCCAACAGAAAAGTGCAGAAATACATGCACGCACGCGCACACACACACACACACACACACACACACACAGTGACACTAAATGGATCACAAAAAGGACACTTGCTAAAATGGGAGAGCTGAGACAAGAAGGCAGAGCGTCATCTTGCTGGACCTTGGCTAGGAACGTGCACATCAAGTGACTACTTTTCACTGCTCTGTGCATGCCCATGAGAGACCCCAAAATCACTGGGAGTGCTGGCTTGGGAGTTACAAAATTTAGGGAAGAGGAACCCTGGAGACACCTGATCTGTGAAAAATGAGGATCAAATGCATTGGGGCCAAGCTTTCTTCCTTTCTAACACTTCACAGAGGCATAATTTACACACCCTAAAGTTCACCCATTGTGAGTACACAGCTTCAAGGGATGTATCTTTACTTGTTTTGAAACTCCCTCATCATTGGAATATAAGTTTTAAGAAAGTAAGAATCTTACTTGCCTTGATTATCTTCAATCATAGCCTGAGATAGTCCTAGACTCAGCAAGCACTTGTTAACTGAATAGAGCGATTAAGTAACAAAGCCAGGAGTGTGTTCACTCTCCTGACCCTCAGCCCACATTTACACACCTGTGCATGTCCTCTGTCTCTCCCTGGGCTCCATACCTGTGTTGAGCATGTAGTAGATATCTCAACAATATGTGTTTATTTTCAATCCTCACTGAAGAGTATTTTTTTTAATTATTTATTTTCAAGAGAGGAAGAGAGAGAAACATCAGAGAGAGAGAGAGAAACATCAAAATGAGAGAGAGAAACATTAATTGGTTGCCTCCACACTTGCCCCAACCAGGGATTGAACCCACAACCTAGGTATGGTGCACGGGACGACTCTCCAACCAACTAAGCCTCCTGGCCAGAGCTCAGTAATACATAATTGATGAACTAATAATAGAAGCAACTATAGTACTTAATAAACACAGATGAATGGTTAACACATGTTTTCTTAACATGATCCTGAGAGAAAGGATCTAAGACTCTAAGGCAAAAGTACCAGATTCCAGTATTTTTCCAGTCTTGCCCCCGGTAGCAGCAGCAGAAACCATTCCCAACTGTGCATCTTTCTTTGTAGGAACCGTGCCCGCTCCACTGTACTATGTCTCAGAGCAAGATGCTGTCAGCTCCCATGTTTTACAGATGAAGAAGCTAAACCTGGGGCAGAGACAGGTGAACTGGCCTACCAAGACCTCACAATCTTACAATATTGAATTTGATTTTTTTAAGTTTGTTCCAAAAACAAACGTAGGATACAATACAGCATAGCACATAAAATTGAATGGCAAAATAAAATAGAGATAGGAGAGGACCAAAAAATATATATGCAGGCAGAGAGAATAAACAAGGAATAAGGTTGATCCATAAAAATGCATTCCAGACAGTCCTACCCATTGGCTAAGGTGGCCAGAAAGTTGCCTGTAAGCTGTCTGGAAGCCACCTGAAGAAGGGAGTAACCAGCTCCCGGATTCACTGTGTCCATTAGTTAAAAAAAGAAAAACAAAAAAACAAAAAAAGACTATCAGAAAAGCAACACTACTTTTCCAGCATAAACCCACTCTCCGTGCTTTAAAAGGCCCTTTGCATCCCAAAAATTCACTCCATAACCCTCTCCCAACCTCAGGCCAGGGACAAAGCCCTGAATAAGCTCCTCTCGGCACGCACAGAGGGCTGAGAAACAGAAGCCTATTAAAAATGCCATTCCAATTATTTCCCACCCCTCTAAGGCTGTTTATAGGAAACATTATTGAGTTTAATAGCATTTTAAATGCCAGACTCAGTGGGTGAAAGGTTAAAAGTGACAATGTGCTAATACACTAATGCAAAGGGAGAGCACTAAATCATGTAGAAGGGGCCACCTCTCTCTCTCTCTCTCTCTCTCTCTCTCTCTCTCTCTCTCTCTCACACACACACACACACACACACACACACACACACACACACACGGCTTCACTGAACTTTTAACTAAAACAGGCCATCCAGCACAAAGGCAGTGACACTGAGCATGCTTGTACAGCCAGAACGCCGTGTTCTATCAGGAGCGTGTGTGCATCTGAGCTCTTGCTACAGGAGAGCAAGGATGCCCTGAAACAGCGGCTTTCAGCAAACTCCAGGCCCAGGTCAGCTGCAGGGCAGCTGGGTGACCTAAGGCAAGTACTGTACTTCTCTGGACCTGTTTTTTCATCCATTACCAACAACTACAATCACAGCAGTTAACGTTATCAAGGGCTCTCACGGTGCCGGCACAGCTCTGAGTGCTTTACATAAATTGTCCCATGTAGCTCTCACAGTGACCCTACACGGTAGGTATCAACATCCCTATTACAGATACATGGGAAGGGAAAAGCCAACTGGAGTGGTCAGAATAGATGCCTGATGGACTTTTATAAAATGCCGTGAGATGCGGGACAAATTGTTAAAAATTGGGACTGTCCCGCCAAAAGCGGGACGTCTGGTCACCTTATTTAAAGGGCCTCTTCAGCCTCAACTGCAAAAGGCTCTCATCCCATTTATTTGTCAACATCTAACACACTGCCTTCCTCAAGAGTTTAACGGGTTACTGCTTCACCTTGTGAAGATGAGGTCTGGTATCGCCTACGT